CAGTATATGAGTTTGTGTATATAAAAGTTTCTTGTATGTGAAGTTTCACTGTACACACATATATATACATATATATATATGTGTGTGTGTGTGTGTGTGTATGTATATATATGTATATATATATATACAGTGAAACTTCACATACAAGAAACTTTTATATATACAAACTCATATACTGTATATACAGTAATGTCTCATTCAGTATGTACAGTAAAACTTTATGGAATATATATAAAATAAACCATCATAAACAGTAAACCTTTACACACTGTATATACAGTAAAGCTTTATATCAAGTATATATGGCAAACCTTAATATACCCTACATTCTATATACAGTAAACCTTTATATATAACAATGCTCACACCACTGAAAATTATGGCTGACCAATGGGAGCCCGTGTTACTGCTCTGTGCTGTAGATTGGACCTTATTTTAGTGTGGCAAACAAGATGTATACAATTTAAAAATATATTTTTATATAGTCAAAGCTGATCTTAATCAAGTGTTCCTAATAAAGTTTAATATGCCAATGGAGAGAACCTATAATAGCTGAAGAAGATTGTGATTGTGATGACTTATTATTCTACTGAAAAAGGTGTTCCCATACTGTCGAACTACATGTCCCAGCAGACTTTGCGGCCCACGAGGAAGGGGGACTGTCTCGACCTTGGAGTCTGACGTACAGCAGCATGGCGAACAAGGAGCCCAACGTAAGTGTTTTAAGTCCTAAATGTTTTAAATGAATGAGTTTTATCTGGTGCTGAGAGACATGTTTATCTGCTAACGTTACTGAAGCTGCTAACTTAATGGTGTGTTAGTGAGTTAACGTTAACCAGCCTGCGGTTAGTGGACAGCACCACAACAGTTAGCATGTCGCATCAGGGTAACGTGAGGTGACTGCTGTGCTAAGTTAGCTCCTGCACTGCTAAACTTCACAAACCGTTAATGACCAGACCTGACTGGACTGTTGGTAGCTAACAGCTAGCTAACATCATGTAACTGATATAAACAGACTGAATGGAAGTGGTTTCATAGGCCTTTACTTAACGTTATTCATTCAGCTGGCACAGGTGTAAGGTTAGCCTACACCGGTGAGCCCTGAGTCACAGCCTTGGGTTTTTATAATGTCCACTGTCCCTGTGAGGGAGACATTGGACCTGGACTGAGACATCCATTCAATTAAGCTGTCATTAATTTGAGTTTAAAAACATGTGTTTGTCCTTCTGAATGGAAAGTAGCCAAGATTTTACCATTACCAAAAAATAGTAGAGAATCATTTTCGGGCAAGAATAGTAGACCAATTAGTATATTACCTGCCCTCAGTAAAATAATGGAGCGAATAATATATGATCAAATTCAAAGTTATTTTTGTAAAAATGAGTTGAATACAGTATATCAACATGCATACAAAAAGGACACTCCACGGCTACAGCACTCGCTCAGATGACAGACGACTGGATGAAGGAAATTGATGATAAAAAAATTGTTGGTTCTGTATTACTAGATCTGAGCGCAGCATTTGATGTTCTTGATCACCATGTGTTATTGAATAAGCTGCGCTGTTATGGTTTTGAACCATCTGCTGTCGCGTGGGTTAAAAGTTATTTGACTGATAGGAAATGTACTGTATACTATAATGGTAGTTATTCTGAGCTGAGAGCTGTGAGTTGTGGGGTGCCACAAGGAAGTTCTTTAGGGCCGCTTTTATTTTCAATATTTATTAATGATTTTCCTCTGATTTTGAATCATACCACTGTTGTGATGTATGCTGATGACTCGACAATTTACACATCAGCATATACAACTGATGAATTGACTAAGATTTTAAATAAGGAATTAGAGTTAACAGAAAAATGGATGATAAGAAATAAACTGGTCCTAAATAGGGGGAAAACCAAATGTATAGTTTTAGGTTTGAAACATTCATTAAGAGAAGCACCTAAGCTTCGCATATCCATGGGTGATACAGAGATAGAACAAGTAA